CCTCAGCCTCCCAAAGGTGCAGGATTACAGGCTGAGCCACCGAGCCCGGCTCAAAATTTTTTTTTATAGCAGATTGGTGCACTTAGATGTCTAACTTTTGCTGAAGCATTTAAAAAATATATTAATGAAGTTAAAGCCTTTCTTTTAGTTTTGTTGTTTTGTTTTTTTAATATACCAAATTCCTGGAGCAATTTCAATTTTGGTACTGTTTGTCAGTAAAAATTAAATATTAAAGGGACAATTATGAGAGAAATGTTCTTCTTATAATATTGTTATATTAAACTGTACTTTTAAAATTATATTTTTTTGATAGCTGCATCTATCTTAACAATGTTTATTCAGTGTCTGTAGAACAATCCTTTTCTTGCTTATTTTGTGTATGTCTGTTGTTGGACCAAATGACATTCACTTTATTTTTAGCCTATTATTTCAAAACGGTATAAGGAAGATTGGTTTGCATAGGAATATCCATAGTGTATTACCAGAACCTTAAATTGTCAGTTTACATATATTTTAAATTTAAATTTTTGCCGATCAGAATTAATTTCTTGAAGTGTATGAACACTGTTGAATTTTAGCATCAACCACTGTAGTCTCATACCTGGGATGTAGCTGACAACTTAATTGCATTTTAAAATGAATCATGTGAATCACGGAAGCTTTAAACTTTTTCTTTTATAGCCTTACCTGAACCCATCCTTCCATCCCTCCAAAAAATTTACCCAGTAAGTGTTTTTTATAAATTATTATAATTCATATTATGTCAAGTGTATGTAGAACTATCATATGCAATATTATTGTGAATATGAAAGTAGTAGGGCTAAGTATGTGATAACATTTTCTGTAAAAGCTGAGGTATTGGCCATTAGAATTTTTAAAATGTTGCATGTACTTTTTTAGAAAACTCTGATACTTTATTTGGTTATTGGCAGACAATTTGGTCAGTTATGTTAATGGCAGAATTTTTTTGTGTAATGCTCATAATAATCATTAATGGGACTATATATACTCAGCTGGTTAATAGCTCCTTAAAATAATCTCTGCAGAAGTCTCACTTAAAGCCCTGTGCCACCTGGGTGTGGTGGCTCCCACCTGAAATCTCAGCACTTTTTGGGAGGCCAAGGCAGACAGATTGCTTGATCCTAAGAGTTTGAGACCAGCCTGGGCATCGTAGCGAAACTTTGTCTCTACAAAAACCAAAAACTTAGCAGAGCATGGTGGCATGCGCCTGTAGTCCCTGCTACTTAGGTTGCTTGGGTGGAAGGATCACCTGAGCCCAGGAGGTCGAGGTTGCGGTAAGCCATGATTGTTGTGATTATGCCACTGCATTCCAGCCTGGGCGACAGAGTGAGACCCCAACTCAAAAAACAAATAGCAACACTATGCTACGTGAAACCCTTTTTACCCAGTTTACTATACTATGGTTGGGGGCAGAGGTATTACTTTTGGATTCCTTAGTTAGTAATTTAGAAAATTTTCGGCTCAGAGTATTTATCCTTGAAAAAGCAGGGGACAAAAAAGTTGAACAATTGAATTATCTTTTTATCTTTAAATGGATTTTGCCAAGTAATATATCAAAACAGGTGACATTAGTAAACTATTCTTGTCTGTAATATTATGAATCCTGCAGAAATTAATTAGCAACATTCAAGAAATGAAATGTGCCTACTAGAAAAAAATGTAGTATGTGCTCAGTTTGCATTTAGAGAAACCTAGGTAGTATACATAGTCATACTCTTTATGAATCCTTGTGTATCCTTTCCAATTTTCTTGTGTTCTTTCTGCATAATTCTTTGTCTCCTTGTGTTATAGACCTACCATTTCTGTTTTCCTCCATAGTCATCCTTGCTCCGTATTTTATTTGGAGGTATTACTTAAGCTAGTTGTTTAGAATCTTCTGAAACCACATAATTTTTATCATCATATTTATAAGAAGAGCTTTTTTTCTAAACTTACTAAATGGTCATATTATGAAGGAAAATATACTAATCAGATTAAATGACTAATTTGCAAAACAAAAACTTACTGCGTCACAAAATAAAATAAATGTACTCGACATGGAACATCAATTAAATATAATGTAATCTCTGAAAATTGAGAAGAGCTTATGTTCTTGTTTTTGAACATCAGTTACTATTGTAATGCACACATGCAAGAAGCTAGATAATAAAGGTTCATTGTAATATAGTCTTGCTGTATTGGGGATCTCCCATTTTCATCTACTAGAAGAGACTATGACAAGAACCTTTTGGAATCTGGCTGACTTCTCCTTTTTTATTTTTAATTTTAATTTTTTTTAATTTTTGAGTTGGAGTCTCACTCTGTCTCCCAGACTGGAGTGCAATGGCCGCTCCCGGCCACCGCAGCCTCGACCTGCTGGGCTCCGCTGATCCTTCTGCCTCAGCCTTCCGAGTAGCCGGAATTACAGGCAAGCGCTACCACGCCCGGCTGATTTTTTTGATTTATTGTAGAGATGAGGTCTCGCTGCCCAGGCGGGTCTTGAACCCGCGGGCTCAGGCAATCCACTCACCTCAGCCTCCCAAAGGCGTGGGATTACAGACTGAGCCACCAAGCCCGGCTCGACTTCCCCTTTTTTAAAAACTAATTTCTGCTTTTATGAAGAACTGTTATAATAATGAGTTTCCAATGTAGCTAGGAGTCTTTTAAATGTTATGAAAAAGGAAAGAATCAGGAATTACAGAAATAGAAGTAACTTGAACTTTTGGCCATGTTTTCCTGCCTCTCTGAAGTATTGATTCCTTAGCTCATACTGAAAGTTGTAATAATGGTTGTTTCATTTTATTTTTCCCAACCTCGTTTTTCTTTTAAAATTCCAGTTTCAGTGTAGAAAGAGACTCATATACTTTGCAGCAAAGGATCTAATAGTTAAATTTATCCTTAAAATAACCTATTATTGTGTATTGAAAATACTTCTGCAGAAATCTCATTTAAAATCCTGTGCTAGCCGGGCTCAGTGGCTCAGCCTGTAATCCCGTGCCTTTGGGAGGCTGAGGTGAGCGGATTGCCTGAGCCCGCGGGTTCGAGACCCGCCTGGGCAGCAAGACCTCATCTCTACAATAAATCAAAAAATCAGCCGGGCGTGGTAGCGTATGCCTGTAATTCCGGCTACTGGGATGGCTGA